GGTGACCAGGGGCTGGGGGCTGGGGGCTGGGGAATGGGAGTTTTTGTTTAATAGGGATGGAGTTTCAAATTGGGATGATGAAAAAGTTGTGGAAATAGGTAATGGTGATGGTTGTACAACAATGTGAATGTACTTAATGCCACCAAATTGTACACTTAAAATGGTACATTTTATGTGACATGTAGTTTACATATTTACATTATAAGTAAATTTTTTAAAAATAGGAAAATATTGTCTCGCTAAACATTATTGTCCATGTTCTTTCTTGGAAATTTACAGCATACCTTAAAGACGCAAAAGAATCTCACCATGAAGAAGTCTATTTAGCTGTGCACAGCCAAGTTTCTCAAAGAAAGCTGAGTATGACATCCAGTCTTGGCATGTCTACTACACCCCACAAATGGGTCTGAGGACCACCAGTTTGCTCTACAGGATTTTACAGAATCAGTGGTTGGGGTCTCTGCTGACATGAGGTGCCTGGTCAAAATAACGAGTATATTAGGGCAGTATTCTTTTTTCTTTTCTTTTTAATATTTTTTCTCTTTTTTTGCGGGGGGCGGGGAGAGGGAGGGGGGCAGTATTCTTGAAGTGGAACGAAATGTTTGCACATGAAGATGGCTGTGAATGGGAGACATCTGTAATACTGTTAACAACAACAACAACAACAACAAAAGATGGCCGTAAAGATCCCCAGAGAAGGAAGGAAGGGGAATTTGGATGGAAAATAGGAGTGTCTCTCTTGTCCTAAAGAAGTTCTCTTCCAGTATTTCTTTTTCCTGGTTGACAAAAAGTGGTAAAAACAAAATAAACAAAAATAAAACAAAAAAAGAACAAACGAAAAAACCTATGTCATGATCTACAGGGCAGAAGACACACCCAGCACATCTTTGTGTCCTTGCGAAGGAGAAACAGCCAAGCAGAGGCCTCTTCAGGGAGGATGGAGATGGGTCTGTGTAGGCCTGTAAGTTCCTGTGACCTCAGCAGCCAGGACATAGTTGGGAGTCCAGCTTCTCCCAGCGGCTTCCCAACCCGATGGGAGCCCCTGGCTGGTGCGCCTTGGGCAGAGTAGGCACTGGAGGCCTCACACTTCCTGCATCCGGGTCTTAAAGTGAATGGTTTTCTCTCCTCACTGTGTGCCTCATTCCAGCTAAATATGTAAATGATCCAAATGCAATCACAAGGCCATATGTCCCTTCCAGTCACTGGTGAGAATGCAGAAAGGGGGATAATAAAGGGGAAAGAAAACATTTTGTACAGCAGAATCCTACTGCTGTGGGACAACTGGGAGATAGTGGCCAGGCCACAGCCATCTGCTCTAGGAACCTGCAGTGGTGGGACCCGCAGCCCAGGTGACCCATTACGGAAGCCACAGGGCCCCACAAGCCCCCAGCAGCCCTCTATGTATCCTCTGCTTGCACAATGTTGCATCTTTCATTTCCAATGGCTCCTGCACATTGACCCTCCCAGGTGTGTCCACATTAGACCCCAATGACACTGAATAGGACATGCTCATTGACTCTATGACTGACTCTCGGAGCCACCAGCTTAATTAGCACTGGGGTGTGCACTGTGCAGGCACTTCTGAGTTACAGCAGGGAAAGCCACCCTGCTCTCCCTCCTCGCCTCCCTCCCCCTTCCATCCCCAACACAGTGCCTCCAAAGGGCCTTTGTCATCCAATGTGTAGGGACACCATCAGCTTATTTCAATACAGCACCCTCCAAATTTGGACAAATTCAGTCTAAGGGTCAATTATGGGCTTATTTTCATATTTATGGACTAAAGACTTTCTCCCAAATGGTGCTAATGATAGCCTAAAGGACAGGCCCATCAAAACACCACCCTCCGAAGGGAGAGGAGCCTAAGGAGGCATCTGCGTTGAAATTCCACCCACAGCCCTCCCCGCACAAGCAGTTACGTCCTGTACATGTTTTTCCACCTCAGCCTCTCCGCAAATGAACACTTTTTTAAATATCTTAACAAAAATCAGTGTTTTAACCAAGGGAAGCTGATTGTTCCCCATTCTCCCCTGGTAGAAATAATAACATTAAACAAACAGCTCCTTGCAGTCTGGGGCTGTAAGCCGTTCATCCTACAGAAGATGAACCCTCCACCCAGGGCAGCCTGGTGGTGGGTATTTCAGGTACTTTACAGTATGTGTTTGCTCACCCCAAAGCATTTGGGGGGCCAGGTGAGTGTGGGTGATTCTAACTCAGGTTTGCCTTTAGCTTGGGTTCTTGCAGGGCGCACTGTAGACGCCACCACTACGTGCATGTGCCTTGGTTTCATGTTATTCCCAAAATTGTTGATCATCAACTAACACCAGATTTAACAATCTGGTTTATTTGGCCAAAATGTAGCTGTATTGTCATTGTAAGTGTTCTGTACGCCAACAATTTATTAGTTCAGAAGATGCACCTATAATTTGTAAGATATTTTCAAGTCATGTATAAGAAGACACTCTGAGTATTTTTTTTATTTTTTTGCCAAATACCATTGGATTTGTTGTCTCTTGAAAGCTTATTTTTAAAACATGTTACCCCTCATCATCAAATCATTACAGCCAACGGGCCCCTTTCTCATATGGTAGGTCAGTCGGCCTCCAGTCATTAGAAGTTGCATGCAGTAAGGTGACTTCTGTCTTGACTCTGATTGTTAGCCTTAAACCTGACACCTGCAGAGCACACCTGGTGCTTCCTGACCTGTCTGTGTCACTGCCCACAGGAGATGACCATACATTAGACACGGCACTTATCGCTCCAGGTTACTCATGAGGCCAATACAGATGTTGAGCCTGGAGGCTGAGGCTTTATGTTTGCAAACTAACACAGCTCTCCATTGAGCACTAACCCTGGGCCGGACTCTATGCTAAGAACAATGTTCACTATCTCCATATACAATCCTTCGAGGAAGGGGGGGTTACGGTTAGCCTTGGATTTCAGGTGGGGAAACTGAGCCACAGGGTGATTCATTTGGATAAGTAGGATTTGACGTGGGGTTGACCTGACTCCAGAGCTGGTACTTTCCTGGTCCTCCAACACTACCCTCCAGGCCCACCTTCCACACACACATCGAGCGCCTTTGCACCCAGCAGTCCATGGGGCGCCAGGGTAGAAGAGGCCTAGACCCTCACCTGAAACACAGGACCACTGTGAGCCATTGTTCACGAGGCTGGTGGAGCTAAAGGAAAGAATGATGAACTAAATCAAGACAGAAGATAAGAAGTTAAGGTAAGTGGTGACTCCAACAACTAAAAAGACCTTAGTTCAGGTAACTAGTGAGGTAATGAAGGTGGGTTGAAATAGACAATTGGGCTGAAAAACGGTATCAAAATGGAATAACTAAAGAATACTTGCTTCTGGAACATAAACTGAGGATCACCAAAGTAACAAAAAGAAAACCATCAAAACGGTCCTAGTATGTGACCCACTGTTCCCTTGATCATCCCTTGTCCCAGATCTTGTGACACTGAAGTCTCCTTGATGCAACTGGGTGAAATGAAGGGCTAAGTCTTCCCTGCCTGGAGATCATCACACTACCTCCCGACTACATCTTCTCTCTCAAGGGGAAGCCACAGGCTGTCTCTCCTCCACCCTTATTCTAAACCAAGGAGAGGAGTTGGATTTGTGTCAGAGCCACATTTGACTATTGGATTTTGGTGGGACTTCTGTTGAATGGAGGAAAGAGACACCAGCTCCTGGTCCCCTGGAAATTCCTACTCTTTGAAGCCTTCAGACCTCAACCCCCATGAAACCAAGCAGGAATCCAATGGGGCTCATGGTCAAAAGTAGGGGGTTCCTCCTGCTTCTATTAAGGCCAAAGGAGTCTTCCTGACCTACACACACCCCAATCTAGTTCACCATGAGCCCAGTGAGGTCCATGGTCAGAACCCTATAGTGATAAACATGGCTGATGGCCAAGTAACCTCTCTGCACATCTCCCTTGGAAATTGCACTGTGAGTAGGTGAAGGACACAGTGGTGCCAGGTTCTAGCCACATTTCCATGTGGTTCTACCTTGAATACCACCCAAATCTTCTACAGCTACTTTCTGCTTGTGCAGACCCCTTTCTCTCCCTCCAACTCAGAGGCCACATTTTAGATGTTGTAGCAATCAGAATTCTGGTAAATCCTCACTAAGGACATGGTTATTGATCTTAGAGAGAGGGGAAAGTACGGGGTGGGGGGAGAACATCGATCAGTTGCCTTCCATACGCATTCTGACTGAGGGATCAAAACTGCAATCCAGGTATGTGCCCTGACTGGAAATGGATCCCACAACCTTTCGGTATATGAGACAATTCTCCAACCAACTGAGCCACACCGACCAAGGCTACAGCCATCAGATTTTAATTGAGCTTTGATGGTAATGGAGGAGGGTACCCTTGTAGCTATGACACCCTCAAATCATTGAACCCCACGAAGCAGCCAACATTTTATCTTTCAATTCAAATACATGATTAATCTCACCAACCAGTGTATTTTCCTGTTTGCCACCTTAAAAGAGGTGCTTGAAAAAGTATTTCATGACATTTTTGTGAACAAAAGGATAGCTGTCTAAGAAGATATGTTTGTAATTGACTGATCAAATCTAATGACAGTACTGATATCTACAGTGTATTCACCCCTTCCGTGTACTAAGCACAGAATGAAGCACATTCCCTGTGTTATCAAAAATTTTATGAAAAAGAAACTGAGGTTCATGAAATAGTTCCAGTCTCCAAATCCCATGCTCTCTCCACAATAGCATGACATCAGAAAGTCCTATTTGTGATGTTGATGGATCGATGTCCATTTGGGATGCCACCCAGTGCCTGGAACACACCCATTATGTCCTTTTCCACAGTTTTGCACAATAATTAGGTGAGAATATTGGTATCCTGCTGATCAGAGTTGCAGTTGATACCAAGCTGGGACCTACCTCCAGCATTTCCAAATTGAAGCAACAAACCGAATCTAAGAGTAAAGTGAAAACTTAGGCTCAAAAACTCAGTGACACAAGTGTATAGCTCCAGGTCTGTCCCCAGCAGCACACATGCATTGGACCTGGATGTTTTTATTGAGACCACGGCACCTGTCAACAGAGTGATGTGGCTGCCAACAAACTAATGTGAACACAGGGAGAGTCATCTCATGCATGTCGTTCCGTCCTGTTAGAAAGTCCAGATTGACACTGACCCACTGCAATCCAAGATGTTGCCCCTCTTTCAAGACCCACCACAGAGTGGAAATAAAGACGGGCAGAGGGCTAACCACTGCACAGGGGAACGAGGGCCAGGGCAGTGTTTGAAGAGGCAGGACAGGATTTCTCTCTTCAGCAGTGCGGCCATCAAATTCCTAGCTTGCCACTGCATCTGTGTGATGTCTTGATAGGAGGTGGAAAGGCATGGTGTGAAATGATCTGAAAGCACGAAAAATTGTTGTTAGGAGGTGTTGGCACCTGAAAAACAACTCATCTTGTTCCTATTGGCTTCAGCCTGAGTTTTCTCTGAGACGACTCTGCCACGTCCTGCTTGGAAATCTTGGGCATTCAAGCTTATACTGAGTGCAACGTGCACTTCTAACACCTCATCCTTTCCCCACAAACACACAGAACACCGTGAGGTCAACGCGGAAATTATTCTGCTGTGTGTTTTCAATTTATTTTCCACTCTAATGTCCAAACACAGTATTGCATTTATGTGCAAATCCATTTATGTGTGAAAGGACTGTGAGTCCATGCTAAGTGGTCCTAACCATTAAGGATTTTAACAAGCAAGTTGTTTGGGTAAAATTTCCCCAAATCAAACGGCAACAGATGCAGTTCAAAATTCAATAGCTATTGAATCATTTCCCCTCATCTGTGGCTTCTCTTCTGGAACATTCTGGGGGGATTTTTTTGTTACTGGGAAGAGCGATGTTTCTCTCAGGTGAGTTGACAATGATGCATGTTCCTGATGATCGCACAGCTCTGATTGGCGGATCTTGCCTTATTAAATCACTTCCTCCCTTCTCCTTCTGTCAGTCATCCTCAGCACAGGACCTTTCCATCCCCATCCCCATCCCCATCCCCATCCCCAACCAAGTCAACAAAACTATAGTAAACGGCCTTTCTTTTTCCATCTGAGCTATGAATGTAAGCTTTTAGAGCACACAACTTCCCTGTCCAGGAAAAGTTAGGGCAGCTCCTGAGTTGGGAGTTTTCAGCACGCTCACAGGAGAGGGTGAGCAGGTGCATGTGTGTGCACGTACGCTAGAAGCAGAGGGGTGGGGGGGAGAAATACAGAGTACCAGGAATTATCTGTGCATAAAGAAATTAAAAGAGAATATTTCCAGAGCAATTGAAGCCCATCTCCTGAACAATGACGACAGCTCCTCATTTTCGACAACAATAGAGGGCACGTAGGAGTCAGCTCATTAGAATATCTGTGGCTCTTTTCTGTTCTCTCTGCATTAAGCCCCCATAATGTCAGTTGTCACTTATTAATGACAATTAACTAGTAATCAGCACTGAGACTCTTCGAGGTGGTCTTTGCCTGACAGGTGAAGAAAGGGAACATTGCGGAGTGCCATGCGGTGACATGGAACCTTCAAAGGGAGCGCGGCATTTCCATAAATTACTTCAGAAAGAAATTTCCTTTATACATTCTCACTAACGCTTAAGGATCTTTAACCCTAGAGAGGCCACACTCCAATTCTCCTTTTGCAATGTCTTTCTTACCAAATGAAACCTGCGAACCATCTATGGTAGTTACAATTGGATCTCCATCCTCTCGTCCAAGACACTCACTCCACAGCCCACCTCGCTCCTCAAACAACTTAGCTTCTGCTATTTAGTTTTAGTTATGTCCAGCCGTACACGTCACCTTAGTGATGTCCCTCCGTGACGCACATCCCTGCGCTGGTTACATCTCACCAGTGGTCGCAGTGGCCCAGTGGCTGACTGCTCTCGAGCACATGCTCTCTCTTCACTCCCTCGTGATGCGGTGACAGGATGACCGCAGCCTCTGGTCCGTGCAGGGGCCCCCCACCCCCAGTCGGAGCCCTCCTACCTCCCACCTCTCTTCCTGATGGCACGGAGCAGGACAGCCTTCCCCACCCTGCACACAGGATCGACCATCTGAACACAGGCACCTACTTGGCACACACCTGCTCGCCCACGGGCCCTTCCTCCTGGTTTCTCTGTGATGCTAGAAGTGCCTGACTAACTTAAGGACTCGGAGTGGGGTTTTCAAGAAGGAAATATTTGGAGTGTGAGTAAGAAGGCTAAACGTTATCACGAGAAGAGAAACATATGCATTCTGTCTTTGAGGAGTTGCGGCTCCGGAAAGGCCAAATTTGCCCTGAGAATGGCATGATGACACCTGGCAGCCAGTGTGCCCCCTGCTAGAAGTGCGTTGAGCAAGGGCATTGCCAATTTCACATGTTAAAAAGGTGGACTGCATCTATTCATGTCCAATGCAATTAGACTATTCTCCTAGAATGGAAACCACTGGCAAAGTGGATGGCATTCAAAGCAGTGATTCGGATATAAGACTGTCTATTCCTGATAGAGAACTCCACCCTTGAACAGGTGAGCCTCTGGAAACAGACAACAAGGAGTTTAGAATCTAAATGTCTCAGGGAGGGAAAGGCGGCATGTCTTTATGAAAACAGAAATTTTAAGAAACGAAGGTCACCTGGAGACTCACTTTGTGACCCCTTTTTTAGAATAAAATCTATTGTTTCTTCCCAAGCACCTAAGGTGGTGGGAACACACCATGTCGCCTGGTGCACCCATCATTTTGCAAGAAGAATTTCATGAGATTACAATGCTTCCCTGACAACAAACAACATGTTAGGCACTGTCACTGTCAGTTTCCAACTACCTAACCCGAACTTAAAGATGAGTGTACATGGTATATTTAAGAAAACAATCGCCATGAATAGAATTGCACTTTAAATGCCTTCCTATTTTAAAAATATCGCTCACAGTAATCTGACGTTTGAACGAAGTCCTTTCCGTCAGCTTGCAGATCACTTCAGATTTGAATGCCACCGGTGCCCACTGCCTGGTGAGAGAAGCGATGGAAAAGGAAGGTGTCCCAGTCGTGGCCCTGGAGTCCAGCTCTGAGAGGTGGCACAGTGTCAGTTGTAGGTGTTTGTTCTAATAAAACAACCAGAAATACTGAGTGGAATGTTCTTTGCACTCATTTCTAATAGTGAAAACTTGAGAAGAATCTAAATGTTGCTTTTTAAAATTCTATCTAAACCAGAGACCATCTCAATGAGAAATGTGTGATATTTAACGAAATGGGAAAATACTCATTATCTACTATCAAGTAAAGAAAAGTACAAAAGGGTGTTCAGTGTGATCTCTATTTTGTAGAAGCATGACAGGAAAAAAAAAGATGTTACCACTAAAATATTAACAATGATTTTTTTCATAGATGAAAGCAATCATTATTTTTATTTCCTTCTTTATGTCTTTGTGTTCCAAGCTTTGGGCAATGACTATATATTGCTTCTATTACAGGAGTAAAAGTTATATAAAAAGCACAGGTACTCTCCAAATTTTACTCTTTTTAAGTTTACAATTCAGTAACTGGCCTTCAACTTCAGAAAAATAATCAGAAAGGCAGTAACATGAAATTTTACCTTGGAAGAAAGCAGAAACCTTTATTTGTATGGACAGGTTTCTGAGAATTTGGAAGAAGTTTAGATATGTTTGACTAATGTAAGAAACTTTATAAAGATTACAAAATATGGAAATGTAGTGACATAAATTTTGAGTTATTGCTTCTTTTTTCATGCAATACCTAAAAGATTGTTTCTCTTACATAAAGTATTATCTACCATTATTTCATTGGCTTCCTACCTCTTTAAATATTGACTAAATAACAATATATCTTAACCCAACACATTCTGAAGACTATCTCAAACCTTTTAGAATCCCACAGTTAAAAGAAAAAGTATGCCCGACCGTCATGGTTCAGTGATTGAGTGTCAACCTGTAAACCAGAAGGTCACGGTTCTATTCTTGGTCAGGCCACCAAGTGGCCAGGTTGCAGGCTCTATCCCCAGTAGTGGGCACAGAGGAGGCAGCTGATCAATGATTCTCTCTCATTGTTAATGTTTCTATCTCCCTCCCTTCACCTCTGAAATCAATTTAAAAATATATATATTTTAAAAGTGTTTAGTTTTCAAGTAGGGTAACTTTTGCATGTGCACAAGGTCACCTAACCAATAGAAAACACTGGGCAGCCACGTGACTACCCAGCCCCGTACAGCCTCCTACCGGTGGGCAGATGGCCAGCTCTCTCCAGCTCCTTGGGGGCCTTTGGCTGTCAAGTTCTAGAAGTGGAGACCTGGTGCCTGGGCTAAGGAAGGACTGGGAGAAACACAGAGCACACTCGAGACTAGATGAAGGCGAGGATGGGTGCATGTATCCAAACACAGATGAAGGAAGCAGAACCATCTGTAAGGTGAATCCTCAAATTAGAGGTGGCAACTGCTTCCCTGGGTTACTCACCGTCTGCCTACACAAATCAAGTTTTCACAGTACTAGGTAGACCTGTAGTCATTGAAGCTGCTACATATTCATAACAAACATTACTTCAACTTAGTTTTCAGATCCCATAGAAAACAGAGCTATCCTGTTTTTGCAATCTGAGGTGGGTTGCAGCTGGAAGCCACGTGAAGAATGAATGTCTGCTCAGGGTAGCACTCACGTCCCTGTCCATCAGCATCACCTGAAACCCTCATCTGTCGTCCCCAGCCCACAGAAGCTACCCACCCCTGGGCCTGCAAAGGAGGCAATTAGGAGCACGGCTGGGGCAAAGCCAGAGCTTTGAGCTCAGGCTCAGGTTGTGTCAATTTCAAGCCCCCAGACCGTGGGCATCTCTGTGCTGGGCTGGGCTCCTCGTCTGTGAGGAGAGTGGAGTAAAAGCCCCTCCCCATGCTGTGAGGCCCAAATGAGTTGCTGTGGGTGAAGCACCAAGGATGTCCCTGGCATGGAGTAGCATCCCCTAACTATAACTAGGTCCCCACCTCCAGCATCGGTATGAATGGTGGTAAGACAAATTAGTCTTGTACTATCTATCGGTTGGAGAACTGAGGTTAATGAATTAGAAAAAGAAAAAATTGCCCAGCGGCATGGCTCAGTGGTTGAGCATGGACTTATGAATCAGGAGGTCATGGTTTTGTTCCCGGTCAGGGCACATGCCTGGGTTGCGGGCTCGATCCCCAGTGTGGGGTGTGCAGGAGGCAGCCCATCAATGGTTCTCTCATCACTGCTGTTTCTCTCTCCCCCTCTTCCTTCCTTTCTGAAATCAATGAAAACATATTTAAAAAAAGAAAAAGAAATGAGGCCTGCATCTGGGTCTAGGCCCCAGTGTCAGAACTCGGGTTGCAAGCAGCTTTCAAATAGCTCAGTGGCTGTGCCACTGGGGCCCAATCCCCAAATGGCACCTCCCTTCACACCACGTGCCTGCGGCTCTGACTCTTCCTACTGGTGAAATCACATAATCATGTCTGTGGACCTGTGGCAAAGAAAACCTAACCTCAGAGGATTCTCATTCAAGGACCCCATGTCCATCAGAGGCCTGTCATTCTTCTCCATCACCCCTGCAGCCCAAAGTACAGTCACCCAGTAACTGAACCCAAGCTCCTAAAGGACGGAACTATTTACCAACGAAAACAGTCGGGACAGTAGCCCAGCTCGCCAGTGTCCAGAGCATTAGTATAGACTGTAAATAGGGCCACCTGGTCGGCCGTCCGGCTGCCCGCGGACAATGGGCAATAGTGGGCACAGCTCAGCTGCTCAGCTGCTTCCAAACAGAGCATCCAAAGTCGACCCTTTCTCAGGGTGTATTTAACGGAAATTTAAGCAAAAGGTAGGAAAAGAAATCTCCATGCCATATCCTGAAGCGCTCCTGGGGTTTCCCTCAATACAGACGGAGCCCTGGACCTCAGGGCTCAGTGCTCACAGCCTCACATGCCCAGGGTGCCCTCGGAGAGTCCTGGGTGCTCAGGGCAACCTGCAGAAGACTGGTTCCAAACCCTGAATCAGACGGCAGCTTGTGTTTTAAAACTGCATTTTTTAAAGCACAGATAACAGACTTTCCTCTTTAGAGAATGCAGAGCTGGTCCCAAGGCCCTGGGTCTTCCCTGCCACCCCATCAAGTCCCAGGACGCCCAGAAAGCACACTGGGGACACCTGTAACTATCCATGTGGGCTCTCCACATGCAGGCCTCAGGCTCTCTATGGACTAAACACCCATCACTCAACAGTTCAACTCGGTGGCACCCAGTGGAGTTAAAAATGCTAATTATCATTTCTAAAAGCGCAATACTTATCATTTGAGTGAAGGCATGTCAGCACACAAATCACAAAATGATGATTCTGAGTGGGATTTCTGTTGGTCGATTGCATCAGCAAGACCTCTCGCTGCTGAAATAACATCTCCCGAGGTGGAAGAATGACGACATGACAATCGACGTAAACCAAGAACGGCGTGAGGATTTATTTTACAGTTGAGAAAACAGTGGATTTAATTGTGTGAACCCAAATGTACTGTACAATATTAATGACAGAACATCAAACATATAATTAATAGTGCCTTGCTTTGTCTTCATTTATTTATTTTTTTGTCTGATATACATGCATCTGGAAAGATGCAAATGCCAGTAAAATTTCTCTATTTAAATCAAGCTGCAGGAACTAATTTTTATTCAAAAATCGTGGTTTTACATTATATACACAGAAATTTAATATAAAATGACAATATAAAAAGTTAAAAGAGAAAGCATACAGCCAGAAGGTACAAAGAAAGTTGGATAGGTTAAAATGGTAGGATAGGTAACCATTTAGGATGGTAGGATAGAGGAATTTTTAAGCGGATGCTGCCAATTTATAAGGGAAGTACTCCGACATTTGCCCCATGTTTTTTTTTCATTTATCAATGCAGCGCGCTATAGAAAGGTCAGCTTGTACCAAAGCTTACATTTGTAAATAACTATAAACCGCAGTATTTTACAAGGAAAAAAAAAGAAATAGCATTTTTACACGTTTTAAATAATAGCTTGCATACTTTTTTTTCTTTTCTTTTTTTTCTTTTTTTTTTTTTTTTGCCAAAAGTGGCATTTTCTTCAGCATCCAGAGGGTCTGGGCATAGTGGCAACTGGGGTGTTTGTTGTTAGTTTTTTGTTTTGAACGTGTGACGTTGTGGCTTCCTAACCCCGCAAGTCCTAGACAACTTCTGTCTTCCAACAGCGGCATGCATGTTCCCTTCACAAACCAGTCTGCATATAAAAGCTCATTTTTTAATTATTAAATAAGTTTTGTGTCTGACACAGCTTTTGATCTGAATGAAATGCCTTTAAGCCTTTTCTTTTTTCTTTTTTTTTTTTTTTGGAGTGAAAGGCACAGAGATGCGATTACAGTCCCCAAAGGGTTAAATTTGACACCACTAGGTCCTATGACCTTTATTGTCATGGCAACTTTGTAATGTTTAGGATGTCTTTTTATCATTGTTATTTGTGTCTTTCTTTCCTACTAAGTTGGTGTCTCTGAGTAGTGTGCCCCATCATTTCCTACAAAAGATAGCTTAACATCAAGAACAGATGTTGAAAATAAAGGTCAGACTTTGACTCACAGAAAAAGAAAAATGACATGCGCAATCAGACAAAGAGCATATAAATATAGCTACAAAACATGTGTAAGAAAAACCGAGGTCCAGGCAGGCCGTTCGGCAACCCAGGAAGGCTGATTTCGGAGGCTCAGGCCGGGCCTAGTGCAGTGTGAAGACGTTTAGTGCAATGTGCCGGGCGGGGTCCCTCGCGTACCTGGCTGCTACTGTTTCTCCAACTCTGTCACGTAGATCAGGTGGTCCTCCGGGGACTTGCCGTGGGTCTTGCTAAGGTGCAGTTTGACTGCGTGTTTGCTCGCAAAAGTCCGGTTGCACAGCTTACACTGGAATGTGGAGCCCAGATCGTCCTCGGCAGCCCCCACCGGGCCCACGGCCTTGTTGGCCAGGACCTTTGAGACACTCTGCTGGTCCTGAATCTGGTTGAGGGGCAGCTTGGAGAGGTCTTTCAAGCTGAAGCCCAGGTGCGTCTCTAGGTGACTGATGTACGTGGGCGCAGTTCTGAACTGAGAGGCACAATCGTTGCAGAAGAACACAGGGTGCCCTGTGTCCAGGTTCTTCAGGAACTTGGTCCCGCCTGTCCTCCTCAGCTGGTACTTGACGTTGGCCAG